AAAATTTATACTTTTTGGACCCCCTCTATATCTACGAAGTTTCTCAGCGAAAATTTCAAATTGGAATCTTATCCCATACAGAATTTTGCGCTGAATTCAGTGCCGCACTCAAATGTTTTTTTTTCTGGGTATGGTTTCGGAGATACGACTTATGATTTTTCAAATGGAACACCCTGTATTTTATAAGCTCATTAAATCTTTTTTTTTCCATCAAAATGAGATATGATGAATAGGTATAAAATTTTCAAAAATGCTCCAAAATCACTAAAACATTGAATTTTAATAGTGGGCTATGGATTTCTCATTTAAAAAAAGTTCCAATTAAAGAATATTTCAGTTGATTCTTCCATGAGAAGGACAAAAATAATCCCAACCATAGTTAATTAAGATAACACAAAAATTAGGTACCAGATAGCAACAAATGAATGGTAATGAAAAGTTCATATTCTAGAATAAGCACCTGATTTAATATTCACTAAGACAATTGAATTTCGAAATTAATCAGAAACTTATTCATTGAATTGTTCAAATTAATGTCCACTTTCCCTCACACGCTTTCTCAATAGGTACGTCCTAATGCATTCAAAATCATTAAAGGATGTCTTTGTAATTCCTGGAAAACTGCCTCTGTTGTTGCACGAAATTCTTCAAGATATTTGTGACTCTTACTGTATCAAGACGTATTGAGAAACTGTGTCGATTGTGTGTTATGGGAAATGGACATCAATTTGAACAATTCAGTGAATAAGTTATTGAATAATTCCGAAATTCAATTGTATTTGTAAATATTCAATCTGGTGCTTATTCTACATTATGAACTTTTTATTACTATTTATTTGTTGCTATCAGGTAATCAATTTTTGTGTTTTCTTAGTTAATCAGTGTTGGTTTTGTTTTTGTCCTCCTAATGGAAAAATCAAAATGAATATCCCTTCAATTGGAACTTTTTTATAAGAAAAATGCATAGCCCACTATTAAAATTCAATGTTTCAGTGATTTCAGAGCATTTTTGAAAATTTCATATACATACATTATGAATCATTCCGAAGAGGAAAAAATTAGGAATCTAATGAGCTTATAAAATACAGGGTGTTCCATTTGAAAAATCATAAGTTTGAGTCGTATCTCCGAAACCATACCCAGAAAAAAAAATTTGAGTGCGCCACTGAATTTTGCGCAAAATTCTGTATGAGATAAGATTCCAATTTGACATTTTCGCTGAGAACACAGGGGGAAAAAGAAGGCGAAATTTCGAAATTTTTCTTGAAATATCTCGATAAATAGTGGTTTGTTCACATTTTCATTATCAAATTCGAGTTTTCCAGACAAAAATACGTAAGTACCAAATTTGTTAACTACGTATTTTCGTCTGAAAAACACGAATTTGATCATGAAAATGTGAACAAACCAATATTTATCGTGGTATTTCAGAAAAATGTTGAAAATTCTGCTTCCGTTTTTCCCCTTTATTTTTTCCACTTCATATATTCATGATGTACAGTCATCTTCAGAGATCTTGTCGCGGTTGGGCGGTGTCAGTGCTCTTATTGCAGGAGTTATTAAGATGATAGCATATCGTCCATGTGCGACATGTTTTCTGAAGACGACTGTACTTCAATGACACATTTTATTCAGAAAATTCAATACGAAATATAATTTTCATGGCGAGTTCTTCATATTAAGTGAACAATCATACCAGATGATGGCCATTTGATCAAAAATCAATCCAAATACAAGATGTCAAATTTCAACAGATTGCTTTTGAATGACGTTACACACGACATCATTTCAGAAAATCATATTTCTAATTGACTTCCACGTATAAAAAAAGTGTCATTGAAGTCCATTGTCCAATGATAAAAAAAGAAGGGCAAATTGTTGTAGAGGTGAAATTTGTAATTTTTAGTGAAATATATTAATAAATAATGGTTTGTTCACATTTTCATTATCATACTCATGTTTTTCAGACAAAAATATGTAAGTAGCAAAAAAAAGTTTCGAAAAAAAACCCATCGCATGATAAGTGCAAAATTACCTTGCTAAATGTTTTGAGGAAGCAATTTGAATGTTTTGAACAGTCAACATACATACTTATAGATTGTATTCGATTTATCACAACGATTATAGATAATCATACCATTTTTTTTCATTCACTTATGATTATCTTAAAATGCAAACGGTAAGCAATTTATGTATTTCCCTTCAATAAAATAAACGTTGTTGGTCTGCTAACCGAACTGCTAACCACTTCGATGACATATAGGGTGAGTCAGAGATCTTCATTTCGAAATAAAATAAAGTTCTTATCGATGTATAGGTTTGTGCTAAAGTGCATAGCTATCTATTAGTTTTTTCGCAAATATCTCAGAAATTCATAATTTTTTCAAAATATGTCAAAAACTGATTTGTTCATTCACCTGTCTACAGAAACTATGGTATGATACATGGTCACATATAACCGTTACTACGACACTGGTTTAACAATTTTGAAAATGACCTTAAAAAATTATCACATTTCTATTTTGATTCTCTTGATACACGTTGATAGGGTTCCACCTGGTTTTCATCTCAAAATGAAGTAATGACTCTAAATACAATGTTTGTCGGTCTTCCAACAGTTTCAACACCCTGTATGAACGTCAAACACAATAATGTATTAAATGTATTATCTCATGCAGAATAATATAAATAGTCTTTCTGAATACCACTTAAACATTTTTTTTATAATTCTTCATTCACGATTAATACCTACTCAATCAGCTGTTCTTATGATTAACATTATATATTATTATTATCAATATAAAATTTTTGAAATGCTCTGAAATAAAAACGACGGTGTTTTCTAGGTACTTGTCCAAACTTCGAAGGGTTGATCTGTGACTAATCTCAAGGTAAAATGTTCATATGAACATGGGTCCGCAACGGCTTGGCTTTTGAGATACAGGGCGTCCAAAAAAATATTTTTTCATTATATTTTCGTTCAATAGCACGGCAATTTGACGAAACTTGGGATGCTAGATGTATTGATGACGAGAAATTTATTATTGATTCAATATTGTTGAATATTAGAGGGGGTTACATTATATTGTTGAACCTGGATTTAATTGACCATAACTATTTTGTGTCGCACTGTATATCATTTGTCACTGAACTAACCAATTATTCATTCACTTTCACATTCATTTTTGATAAAAACTGGTTCAAGGTTGAACTTTTGTAGTGGAATTTTTGAAAAATAATCAAAAAAATGGAATGGAAATGGAAAATGACCCCCGCGCCTACTTCAAATAATTTTTTTGACGCTCTGTTATCTTGAAAACCCAGCCGTTGCGGACCCATGTTCATAATATGAACTTTTTATCTTGAAATCAGTTAAACATCAACCCTTTGAAGTTTGTACAAGTACTTAACAAACGCCCAGTATATCTATATTTAATCGAGTGTTCTGAAATTTTCACTTCCGTTAGTTCCGTTCTGACATTTTCTCAAATTTTTGAAGAAATTCATGTGAACTTCATCTTGGATAAGTCAATAATTATTTAACTCAATTAAATATTTAGCTAAAATGCTAAAAATCATTATAAACTAATATTTCACGAGTTATTTCGATGGTACTACATTTTTGATCAATGCTAGAAGCATTTTAATTGACAATCATTGTCTGAAAAAATTAAATAAAAATCTCATGTTCTGAATTACTTTATAATGGTTGGTGAAGAGTTAAATCACGTCCATCGGTAAAGCAATGTCACTAATGCATGATAACATAACAATAGTTTTTGACCTTCCCAACCATACTATACCTGGTATGGCTGTAGCTAAAACATAAATACAATGTCGATACCTCTATTGGGAGACACATAGTGGTACCTAGATTTTTTCTTCTTCATCCATTACATCATTTATAGACGATAGACAGTGAATAACGATCGACAGTTTTTGTAAGAATGATTATTTTCCATGTTAGGTATAAGTATCTCGAAGTATCTTGACCATAATCAAGTATCTATACACTCTTTTTTGCAGGAAAACAATGTTTCTAGTCTAGTTGCGAGAACCCAGCCAATAAAATTTAGCGAATGCTTCACTACATACCGCTTCCATCTTTCAAAACATTGCCAAATTTTAATAACTGCAGGAAGTGTTACATCGTAAATAAGATTCATAAATTCCAGTGTAACTTCATTTGCTTCCTTCAATTCAACAAACAAATAATATTATTTTAGTACTTTCATTCCTCAATTTTGACTTTTTAAAAATACGTTGTCTTGGTCTTTGACTAGAGAGTTGAAGTAATCACTGTACGTAGACCTCCACGTCGACGTTGACGTACGAAAAATAACGTTTACGTATTGTCGTTAAATTGAGTTGAAGTCGCCACTTTGGTCGTGTCGTCACTGTCATCATAACGTAATAATACATTTTGTTTTCGGTTTGTATTGGTCATTTTTGGTTGTGTGTTTAGATTCGAACATTTATTCCTGTCAAAATTAGAGGACTCCTTGATGCAGAACTCGTTGGTGATCTCGAATTTGATAATTTTGACTCATCGGCATATTTCGAGTATAGTTTGGTTAACGTACTTTGATATTTAAGGTATACGTGAAGGAACGTGAGATAACTAGGCCCACTAACAACGCAAACGTGAAGAATTGGAAAATGCGCATACGTAGCTGTCAATTTCTACGTTTACGTTAACGTTCATGACAACACTTCAACTCTCTACTATCGAACAGGTTCCAACTAGGGTTCCAATGATATACGAATTTGCATACCTCCGCCTATGCCAACAAATGACGAACAACCTGTAAACCAACAATTATATTGTTTATTTTATACACTTCGTACTCCTTTTTACAAACAATTTCCTACACGTCACGAATGCCGAACAACTTTTTGCCCACAGTTCACAGTCTAGTTCTACGCGAGTAGCGACAATGAACAATTTTCACACAAACCAACCCAGATAACCCAACAGAAAAAATGTGAAATCCAGGAAGATGAAGAAGTTTATCACCACAAAAATCAGCAAACAACAATGGCGAGTGACGGTACCGAACATAAACGCGAACGTTTTTAGAAAATCTCCAGCGAAGGAGGACGACAAGTCATCAGACAAAGAGTCCAAAAGGTCTTCGGGCTTTTATGACTTTCAGGATGCTCAACAAGAGTACGACAAGACCAGAAGCCTGCCAAACAGTGTCTATGTCACCACCAGCAGCTCTGATGAGGAAGAAGAAGAGTTTGAAGATGCTAGAGCAGCAATGTCAGACAGAAGCAGCAATAAGAACAAGGAAAACAGCGACACAGATCAAGAAGTATACCAAGATGTCGAACCTACAGTCAAAGTATCAAAAAATATCAGCCAGAATAATAGCCAGTACGAGTATGACGTTCCTAGAATCAGCTTCAAATTCTTCGAGAAACACAAACAGAAAGAAGAAGAAAACGACCAGCCTAATTATGAAGATGTTGAGGTTGCGAGCGAAGTCAAGATAGTCCTCCACTCTCCAGAAGAAGAAACGGTGACCATCGTCGAAGATAGAACCAAAGAAGAAGACTGCGAATTCCCTTTGTGCCATCCCAGCGAGAAGTTCGTATCGCAGACAGAAATATTCATAGAAGGCCTGGAAAACATCCCCCTATCTGTGATCAAATCCGCTGGCAGCGACCCCAATCTAGTCCTGAGGGAGGAACAAGAAGACGATAACTTTTACCAGGTGCCGAGATCCTTGAAGAAAGCCAACAGGTTATCACAGTCCCTCAAAGACTTCGATATCGAGAACCTGGACAACAAGGAACAGGTGCAAGGTTCCCATGACTCCAGCATTGAACATATATCAGCTAGTCAGGTGTTTACTGAGAATTATGTCTTCCGAACGCCGACTAAGGAAATCCCCAATGGCACAGCTGAGGTTCCTAGTCCTTCCAAATCGAAAACGAAGCTGCTGAAGCTGCGGAAACCTGCTATTCTGGACAAGCCGAAAGCCAAGTGGGAGAACTTCAGAAGCAAATTCAATAGCCTCATGGTGGAACAGGCGGCGCAGCAAAGAGTGGGGGCGTTCAGCGATAAGGAAAAGGTGACGATCAACTTCGAGGAGATGTACAAGAACTCCAAGACGAAGTGCAAGAAGGTGTTCCAGAATACGAGCAAGATGTTCAACAAGAAGAAGACGCAAGACTGCGGGGATACTAGTCCTGAGTCGGTCCACCATTTGACTGCTAGTGATATAGAGTATAAGCTTAATTTTAGTGATGGGGTACAGGGTGGTAGTGAACTGAACGAGAGCAAAGACTTGAATGACAGTAAAGCGTCTAGTGAGAATTTGATGAACGATAGTAGTTTTTCGAATGAAAGTAAAGTGTCCAATGAGGATAGTAAAAAGGATTTTGGTGCTCTGAAGAATGCTTTGAAAAGGAGGTTGTTCGCAAATGAGGTAAGGAACTGCTGATTTTGAGATGTCTGGAATAAATTGGTGTGAATCGGGACTTCAATATACTTTCAATGTCATTGATTATTAAACTGTCATCTTTAAACAATGACATGTTCTATATCTGCCAAAACTTCTACTCAAGCTTTCTCCGAGGCTTTGTCTTAATAAAGTGGAGCTTTGAAGACTGCGTTTAAATATGCAGAATGAAAAAAGCTATATAAAAGAGAATGGCAACTAACTGTACCTTTCAGGATATTGTCCAGATAATCACTGCCGAAAGTATGTTGTTTACGATCTAGATTTTGATACCAACCTGAAGAAAATCTTGTTTCATTCAAGTGACAATTCAAGAAGGAGTTCAAATTTCTACGATTTCCAAATTTTCATACATCAGTTTTTTTTCAATGAAAGAAGTTGGTCTTAGATCTTTGGAAGATATTAGAAACCAACTGGTTGATATAATCCCAAGTAGGGTTCCTTGAAGAGATACAGGGCGCTGGAATAGATCAGGACCATATAATATTTTGTTGATATCTCAGTTAATTTCAAAATCCTCCCGAATTCAAAAATATCGCATGACACAGACTCATGGTATACCCCCCTTTTCTCCTTTGTTTTTCTAGCTATATTTCTGGAATTTGGGACATCGAATATGGTCACTAGAGGGCACTTTCTCACATTTTAGGATCATTTTCTTCATCTTTCGGTTTTCATGTAAATATCAACAACTTTCGATTTCCAAATGGAACACACTGTATTTCATTCTATAAACGTTTAGGGATTATTATAACAAAATCAACGATACCAGGTTTTGAATTGACTCGGCAGCTTCGTCATGTTTGAAAATTTGTACAAGTTCTTCAAGTTCTTGGTTAATAATCAAATTAGCTGAATACAGATCAGAATAAAAAAATTATATTTTCTGTATCGTCAGCGTAAAGATAAAGCTTTAGTACGTTCTAAAACATTGACTATATCACATGTATATAATGAGAATAGCAATAGTTCCAAAATAGAACCTTGTGGTATACCACACTTTATATGTTTCAAATTCGATTGCTTATCATTGGCCACAACGAATTGTAATCTAACCGACAAATAACTTTAATAATTATTCCAAAGGAACTCTCTAAAAAGCCCACTTAGTGCAAAATGGCAAATTAAATTTCATGGTTTGATGATATTCGACATTTTTCTTTTTGGAGAGTGGAATTACTTCAGAAATTTTCCACAAATTTTCCGCAAAGTTTGCTTTCGCTCGGCTTCGCTAAACGCTCCGCCTCGCAAATGCAAAATTCGCTTGTCAAACAAAGTGTCACTTTTGATCCTAATAAAACAATCTACTATTTTATTACATATGGAACGGGTCGTAAGATTTTTCCACCGTTTGTAGTCTTCCCGATAATAAGGATATTTTGATTTCTGGTACTTTTTAGTGCTCTATCTCTCATGGACATCATCAATTTTACATTGTCAGTTAACCAAGGAGGGTTCTGTTTTTTAAATGTGATCTTTTTCAAGGGCGCTAACGTATCGAAATTATTCAAAATCAATTGATTGAAATATTCAATTTCTGCATCCACATCATCAAAAAAAGTATATTTTCAAAAGATGAAAAGATAATATTCATTTCTTTTGTTCTGTTCCACGAAATTAGCCCACTTTCAACTTATTGGTGAATGAAGATAATTATGTTTATTATAGATACAAATTTTCAACTTTTGTCCTTACAAGAGTGGTAGTGGTATTCTGGTTTGCAAGGAAAGTCCACAATTGCTCACCTTGTATGAATGCTTATCAGAATGTTATTCAATAGGAATTTATTGATGAATTCTTATTGGCATGTGTCGTTTCGATAAGAACATCCTGTACATATCATTCGCGATTAATTTTTGTTAGATAATTCAGTCATTGCCAACATATAATTACTCAACTACAGAGACCTGTTTTATCAGGTGAATTCAATAAGCTTATTTGCAGTTGATCAGTAAACTATTGTGACTTCAAGGTTACACATTTTGTAGATAAATTTAATTACTTCCTCAATAATTGTATTTTTTATGAGATATGTAACGTAAAATTAGGGTAAATCTAGTGAAATCATTTCATGCCAGATTTAGTTCAGCAGCAGTTAGCTTACGAAAACAAAGCTATAAATCAGTATTTGGACACGTTAAATCTGATGTTCGAATTTTACGATCCATTTCACACGTATCTAGTGCTCACATTGTTTGTACTAGCCATTTTTATCACCAGCAAAAATTAAACAAGCTATTTCATACGTATAGATACAAGCTCTGATGTATGTACCTACCAAATATTACGAATAAATGGATGGTGTAATACTGGGACACCTTGTATAATTTTTTTACGGCAATCTTCCAGATTCGAACTATCTGTAAATGTATAAGTGAACTCCCCAACTCCCACCTATCAATTAGGTAATGGCTAACGCAGTGAAAAATAAATTTAAGATTAAGGCCAAATATAAATTGGGAGTATAAGGATTATGGAATGGATAATATGATGGTGGCTTTCGGTGAAAAGGCTAAGCGAGAGGTTAAGTGTTTTTCCCACAGGTACTTGAAGCTCTAAAGTTTCATTAAAATATCATTGCAGTTCATAAAACATTTAGAACAGGGTCGTATCCAGGAAGAAGTAGATAAAAGCTTGCAGGAACATTTTTCGCACTGTTGCCCAGTGAAAAAATATCTGTTATCTGATATTATTGATCAATAATTGCCTCTCCAGTATAGCGTTGTCTGCCGCATTTCGTAATACCCTGTATATCATTCTGCGATCAAGATGTCAATCACATCAATACCTATTTCGTTGTTTGTATCCCAGTTACCTGAACCCTACCAATTTATATTCTAATTATTAGTAACTAGCCCAGCAACTGTCCTCTAGATCTAAGATTGATGGTATATCAGATAGCACAAGTACATCTTATGGATATTCTATGGATATCCATCATGGATATTGTGGATGTCCATAAGATATCCGAAAAAGGCTCTAGTATATCCTTTGGACGTCCATAGGATGTGACAGTGTGACCTTTTTGGATGTCTTAAAGATATTCATTATGGATATCCATAAGATATCAACTATGGATATGGATAAGAGATAGTGTACCCTATATACAGGGTGTTTCCTAATTGAATGTCAATATTTGAGGAGGCGATTCTTGGGCCCATTTTAAGAAGAAAATTTCATATGAACGTATGACCTAAACGTCTTAACTTTTGAGATACAGGGTGGTAAAGTTCTCAAAAATAAATAGTTTTTTATTAATATCTGTAATACCACTTTAAATATTCTAATGAAATTTGGTATACGTGTACTAGGTATCAAGAGGCATCAGTTAGTGTACCACATTTTTTCTCGTTGCCACCAGTGGCGTTCGTATGGAATTTCACATACCTATTTTGGCAGACATTGATGGTACGCCACTGATTAATCTCGAAATTGAAATAATTCTTGAAATTCTCAATCATTTCTAAGCAAATTTGATCTCTACAATTTTTTCAATCTGATGCAGGGTTTTCGCTTAAAAAAAATAAAAACCTTTTCACTGCATGATCATAACAATATCGTTAATATGACAATACCACAATGCAGAGAAATAGATTTTATTTTTTAGGTGAAAACCGTGATTCGGACCGAAACAATTCAAGAGATCAAATCTGCTCATTATTTTAAGAAAAGTCGATGGCATGCCACTTACTGTCTAAGTACAGATAATAGGTTAATTGGGTGGCCACTGGTTAATTTCAATAATTTGTTTTTGTGAAAGATGTCAAGAAAATATCTAGTCTTTAGTCACCAATTAGTGACCACAACCACACTATGTACCTAAATGATTTTGTTAGAAGACTGTTCTTTTCTTTTACACATTTAATGGAATAACATAACATTCTTCAACAACAAAAGATAACTAATAAACGATTCTTATTTAAAAACAATACCTACTATTAATAATTTTAACAAAATTATAGAACATAGAAACTAGATGAGTTGTTGAAAATGGCCTCCACCTTGAAGGATACACGCTTCAGCTCTTTTCCTCATATTGTCACGCACTCTTTGAAGTATACCTCCAGTATTTCTTATTAAATCGAATGCAGCTCTTATACGATCCTTCAGCTCTTCTAGAGTGTTCACTGGGTTGCGATAAACCAGACTTTTAAGATGCCCCCATAAGAAAAAGTCCAAACTATTCAAATCTGGGGACCTAGGGGGCCATGGTTGAGGTCCGCCACGACCTACCCATCGATTTTCAAATGTGTGATTTAAATATTCCCTTGCTGCAACACTGAAGTGAGCGGGCGCGCCGTCATGCATGAACCACATTCTGTTTCTAATTAAAACTGGTACTTCTTCTAGCAATATGAACAATTCCTCCTCTAGAAACCGGCGATAATTATGGCCGTTTAGCCTTTCTGGCAAGAAAAAAGGTCCAATTAAGTAATTTCCAACAATTGCAGCCCAGACATTCACCGAAAATTGTTCTTGATGGTTGAATTCTACAACTGCGTGAGGGTTTTCGTCTGCCCAAATATGGTTATTGTGAAAATTTCTGATTGCGTTTCTGGAAAAGTTAGCTTCATCTGTAAACATTATTTCACGGTCAAACAAGGGATTATGAGCAATTTTCTCCAGAAACCATTGACAAAAATTAACACGCAAGGGAAAGTCTCGGGGAAGTAACGCTTGGACCCGTTGAATATGGTATGGGTATAATAGAAAATCGTGCAAAATTCTCCAAACTAGGACGTGCGAGATATTCAGATTATTTCCAATTTTTCTAGTACTCAGTTCAGGATTTTCTTCAATGGAATTTAAAACTGCTTCTTCAATTTCTGGAGTTCTTACAGTGCAATGGGCTCCTTTTAATTGATTATTCGCCTGCAAAGTACCTGTTTCAGTCAACCTCCTATGTACATTTGCAAATGTTCGCCTATCTGGTATTACTCTATTAGGGAACCGCTCTCGATACAATCGCTTAGCTTCCGGCGATCTGCCATCAGCCAAACCATACATGTAATGCATATCTGCCAACTCCTCATTTGTAAACTCGACCATTATTTTTCAAAATAACAATGCTCGAATATTTTAAACACTAAATTAATAAGACGCGAAAAACTGAATTTGAAAATTGACGAACTGTCATACAAAATAATGACAACTGTCTTGACCATAGAATTAATAATTCTTACAGACACAGCCTACTACAATGAAAAGTAATAATTTCAAAATACCAAGTACGAATACGAAGTTCATAAACTATGAATTGTATTTCTGAAATTTGACCTAAAAAATAAAATCTATTTCTCTGCATTGTGATATTGTCATATTAAGGATATTGTTATGATCATGCAGTGAAAAGGTTTTTATTTTTTTTAAGCGAAAACCCTGCATCAGATTGAAAAAATTGTAGAGATCAAATTTGCTTAGAAATGATTGAGAATTTCAAGAATTATTTCAATTTCGAGATTAATCAGTGGCGTACCATCAATGTCTGCCAAAATAGGTATGTGAAATTCCATACGAACGCCACTGGTGGCAACGAGAAAAAATGTGGTACACTAACTGATGCCTCTTGATACCTAGTACACGTATACCAAATTTCATTAGAATATTTAAAGTGGTATTACAGATATTAATAAAAAACTATTTATTTTTGAGAACTTTACCACCCTGTATCTCAAAAGTTAAGACGTTTAGGTCATACGTTCATATGAAATTTTCTTCTTAAAATGGGCCCAAGAATCGCCTCCTCAAATATTGACATTCAATTAGGAAACACCCTGTATAGAAAAAATCAAAAAAAAAATTGGGAAGCACTCACGTCTCACTGCGTTCGAATAAGGTAGTTGTCAGTTCTTATGCATCAACAATTTTGGTTGGACGAATTCGTAGAAATCACTTCCAAATTCACTTCAAATTAATCAAATATGAGAATAGATTGACATTATTCGACTATTCCAAGGTTGGTAGAATCGATGACCTATAAATAATCATCAGTTCTACCAATCTTGGACTATTTGAGACGTTACGCCATCTCGCGCTGTTTTTGGCGCTGTTTTTGAAAACCGAATTAATAATAATAGCAGATAGTGCATCACAATGTGTGCTATCTTTTGGAAGACCCACGCACAAGTGTTACTTTTGTGGATCTCCTTTTATTTATTTATCATTTCATTCATTGTATATACTTGATTTGAAATTTCTAGTTATTGATCTTTTGTCTCTATATCTTATGGATATCCTATGGGCGTATTCAGGACGTTTGTTTCGGATATCTCAAGTACATCCGCAATCGGATATCTCATGGATATACATTTCATGTTCACGGATATCCCGCCTTGAATATAGTACATGAAATGGATATCTATATAAGATATCCTGTGTTAACTGGGTGAAGCACTTGCTTGAATAACATTGATGATGTAAACAATGGGGATATACGAGGGGATATACCTCCATATAAATTAGGGGATAATGCATTCCGATCTTTCACGAATTATCAATCAAATCATTGATAGCAGGGTTTTTGAATTACCAACTTGTTACTGCGTTTTTTATCCCAAATGAAGAAATATCCAGTTGATCATATTTGTATCTGAATACGATCCTGCCTCCGAAATATATCGTGATTGGGCACTTGACAGAATGACTAAGTTCATTGAAACAATCATCGAATCATTTGTAACGTGAGTAATTTTCGTTAATTTTATCTCGAGTAGTTAGGACACTACATTTCTGGATAAGTGTGAATGAGGCCTTAGCGCATTTGACCCTCGATTTGACCCTCGATTTGACCCTCGATTTGACCATTCTACTGATGTGATCGTTTGGTGACCTTGAAACATATTTTTCAGGCAATTATGGCCAGAAAATCATGTTTTTTCATCAAATTGGTGGGTACTACTTCAAAGTCTACTCCAGGACGTACGACCAGTATTTCTCAATATACATGGGAAACATGATCATCATCATTATAATTATCATGATTAATAATTATTACCATAAAATTTTTGCAATTCTATTAGATCGTTCATAAACTTTCGACTTCAGCTAATAATACCATTCTAAAATTAGTAACTTATCCAGAAATAATACGATACAAAATGTGAAGTCACTAAATTTGATGCAAAGATGTTCTCCTATTGAGATTGGCAAATTTACCAACATTTATACTATCTGTTAGTTTAAGGATCAGATTTTTTATTTCTTTCTTTGATTTCAGGGTCAAAATGGATTTGAAGATTTACGAAGATATGTCAAGCAAGGAGGCGATTTTTGTAAAGAACTTTCTACGATACTGCAAGAGAGGTAAATAATTCTTTCATTCAAACAATACAGGATGAGTCAATAGTGTGTTCTCCTTCGATATTAGCCAAACCGTCAGGTATATAAAAAAAAATCGAATACAACAGTTATAGAATTTTATGAGAGCTATCACCTAAAATTATTTTCATATCTATAGGATGTTCGAATTCCAAGATATCGGCTGATGACGGGTGTTTTTAAACGGGACACCCTGTATATTATTGCATTTTTAAATTTCTCCTGGAGAGTTGATTTCATCAATGTATCACACTTGGGGTCTAGCGAAAATGATTGCAGAGATATAGGGTGTTCAGAATCGAAAATTTTTTAATATGGGATTTTTTTGTGTCAGAACTATTCATTATTGGTCGAAACGGCTTGCATGTCCGTATATCAACGTTTGATTTACTATCTACTAAAATTTAATTGGAATAGATACAGGGTGATCAGAAATCTTGAATTTTGAAACACCCTGTATTTGTTCCAATTGAGTATCAGTAGATGGTGAATCAAAAGTTGAGATAGGGACATGTGAGCCGTTTTGACCAATAAAAAATAGTTTTAACACAAAAAAATCACAAAGTTGAAAAATATAGATTTTGAACACCCTATATCTCTATAAACATTTCAGCTTGTCCCCAAGTGCGATACATTGATGAAATCAGCTCTCAAGGGAGAATCTAAAAATGTGATAATATACAGGGTGTCTCATTTGAAAACACCCATCATCAACCGATATCATGGAATTCTAACACCCTATAGATATAAAAAAAAATTTAGGTGATAGTTCCTAAGAAACCCTATAACTGTTGTATTCGAATTTTTTCTATATATCTGACGGTTTAGCTAATATAGAAGGAGAACACACTATTGACTCTCCCTGTATATGATGTAACTTTCTGGCAAGCTTCAAAGAATGCGCCTTTATTGTTGTGACATTTTTATACATCTACTTCCAAGAACCTCACTTGTGAGGGGTTGAAAAGAGCGGGACCTACAGCTTACAGTGCAACACGAACCACTGCTAGGGGATGTCGAGAGGCTGTCAGAATACACACTGACTATTTGTAGAATGTCTAGGATAATCTGGCTTCCGGATCATTCTCCTGGTTTATTTATTTAGTAGATAAAGACTTGAGAGAAAAGGTTAATATAACAAACTATATTTGTCAAAACAAACAGCATTCTTAATCCAAGTGTTTCTTTTATCTTTTGGAGTGCACGAGAGGAATTTTTTTTTCAATTCTGGAGATTATAATTTCTTGGTGATAGTTCCATTGGCAAAGAATTCCAAAACTATGCCGTTGCTAAACAAACGAATTTTGGAAAAGTGATGTTCGACATATTTCATTATTATTTTCATTAATTTATCATTGACAACTACAGGATGTGTTGACTAGGCTTGTCAAGTTACAGTCCACTACAAACTATACCAGTTAACAGTTTTCGAGAAAATCGCAATTTTCTACATCTATCAGAATACACGCTGACTATTTGTAGAATGTCTAGGATAATCTGGCTTCCGGATCATTCTCCTGGTTTATTTCCAGGGCCGAAGCTGAAACCCAATACGCCAAGAGCCTGTCGAAGCTGAGCGCGAAGCTGACGAGAGCGTGCAGGGACGGGGTAGGCGGGGTGAACGAAGCCTGGAAGTCGGTAGCCTTGGAACTGGAGACCAGGGCGGAGGGACACAGGCTGCTCGGTATAGCTCTCCTCGAGGAAACTGCCAAACCTTTGAGGTCGCTCACCGAAAACCAACACAGGTGCGTCAACTATATTTGTCTACTACTGCTATGAAAAGTAGCGCATTTCTCATAGCTTACTTAAATTCAAAACCATGTATTGCCCATACTGTCAGAGATTTTTTTTCTCACGGCACTTTGCCAACATCACATACATTTCCATGGAGAATCAACAAAAATCGACCAAAACTGTTCAGCTTTGAATAGTTGTGCACAACTGTCAGAAGAAGTTTTTCAAATTCTTTAGGGTAGTTCTCATTAGTGCTGTTGATAGAAATTGCATTTTTCATTGAATATTATTCCAACCCATCCATAATATATAATATGATGTATACAGTGTGTCCCACTTACCATGCTCACCATGGGTATCTTTTTAACGGTGAGAGATACGAGGTCGGTTAAATGACACCAAATGTGGAGTTTGTCAAGGCCAACTATAATGTGAAAAAATATTTTGATAAAATCTATTCGTTTTTGTTTTATACGCAAAAACAGATTTTGATCATTTTCATGTCTCCTCCGTAACTTCTTTATTTATAAAAATATTCGAATAGGAATTTCACATTGTGATGGCAGTTTTTGAAAGTAAAAGTATGAAATTCATACCAACTCTTCTAGAATTTGAGATATCAGCACCAACTTTAGTTAATCAAATGTGGGTCATAGCTCACTATGACTTTGTTACAAATAACTTTTTTTTCTCTTAAAGAGATCTTGTCCGCAGTCTTGGAGCAGCCATTTTTTTTAATTTCAACAAACATTCCATAACTCCTATCAACTTGAAATTTGGCAGGTGTTCATAATTTCGGTGACAATACATTATGGAATTTTTGTTGAAATTGAAAAAAATGGCTGCTCTAAGATGGCGGAAGAGATTTGGTCCGATTCCATTCAAAATTGGTTAGTGGGGGTTTTTGAGGTCGGAGATCATGATTTTTTTGTGACAATTTATGAATTCAAGATGGCGGCTTCCAAATAATTTTTTGTTTTTGTGTAAATGACGATAACTCCGTTGTTATCAACACAAAACTATTTCTGCGACATATCATCTTTAAGAGAAAAAAAAGTTATTTGTAACTAAGTCATAGTAAGCTATGACCTACATTTGAAAAACTAAAGTTGGTGCTGATATCTCAAATTCTAGAAGAGTTGGTATAAATTTCATATTTTTTTTGAAATCTCTTTGAAAAACTGCCATGAGAATGTGAAATTCCTATTTGAATTTTTTCATAAATAAAGAAGTTACGAAGGAGACATGAAAATGATTAAAATCTGTTTTTTGCGTAAAAAACAAAAACGAATAGATTTTATCAAAATATTTTTACTCCACATTTGGTGTCATTTAACCGACCTCGTATCTCTCACCGTTAAAAAGATACCCATGGTGAGCATGGTAAGTGGGACACACTGTATACCGAGATCTGACGATTTTGATTAATACACCGCCAGAGACAGAGATAATGGAAAAAGCTGCGAAAATTGGATTTGTTTCCGGAAATTTCAGGAAAAAAGTATGAATTGGCATATTGGTACGAAAAATTTATGGAATCTAAAAAAATACAGAAATAAAATCTATTTCGGAAAAGGTACTTTTTTGAAATACTTTGAGGAACTAGGAAAGGCGTCTACTCTTTGGTCACAATATTCAATGTGTTACATTACTCGGATTCTTTGAATAAGTGCAGTTGTAGAAAAAGTATAGTGTGCAACATGTGGAGAAAAGTTGTACTTTTTCCACTCGTTGCACAATGTACTATTTTCTCAGGATGTGTCTAAAAGATGTGATTCCCAGCTAGGCTACAACTCTAGGATAGAGAATCTATAAATACGTTTAGGGGAGAGGTTTTTATTTTCCGAATTTATCGTTCAGCCAAGGGTCTTCTGCTGGGTACAAAATATGTCAAATCAGTTGATTCTTAGTAAAAAGTACCTTGGACGCTGCTGAAAAATGTTGTGCTCTTTTTCTGCGTTTTTTAACGACCAGGCATGTTTCTTCTAATAAGATGAACGTATACAGAGTGCCCGTTTTTCGAGTTCCACCATGAGGATCTCAGTTATTATGAGAGATACGAGGTCGGGTAGTTTTATCTGCAAGAAAATTCGATTTGTCATTTTCAGTTTTTGAATTATTTGAAGGAAACGAAAATTTGTAATTTTCCGTTTTTGTTTTTTCAAGCGAAAACCAAAAGACCTAGACGTTTCTGACTAGGACATTCTCGACTCCAGAGCTAGGCCAATATCGCCGAATGGTCACATTTTATTTTCAAGACATGATCCACCAATATTTCCAACTAATATAACACCAATCTTTTCAAATGTGCACTATTCATTTCTCCCAATATTGATTTCACCTTTGGTGACCAATATAACTACCAATATTTAACCAATATCGATATGGACATTTTTGACCATTTTTTTTCCAATATAACGTTCACAATATTTTACCAATATTATCGTAATATTGCACCAATATTGTCTAAATATATGTGTGCTATTTAGGTTAGGAAAAAGGAAACTGATACAACAAGTGAGGTACCTATACGTAGTTTTTGAAGGTATCAGATAAGTATAGATGTAGTTTTCATTAGGTATTAGCACAGTTGAGAGAATGTAATATTCTCTCAACTGTGGTATTAGATTACTATAAATAGAGGTCAGATAATTTATACGACGCTATAAAAGCAGATGATATTTTATCATTGCTCATGTAAGATGGAAGTAGAGGCCATGGCACCATATCATGAGCATATTTTTATATTGAAACTATCATTGGGCACCAAAGATGTGTATACGACGCTATGAAAGTTCAGAGAACTGGAGATTTTTCCCACAAACTACGTACTTAGCCCACTCGACTGTCTTGGTTTTTCCACACAAACTACGTACCTAGCCCACTCGACTGCCAATAGGGACTGAAAAAACAAAAACGAAAGAAAGTTAAAACTTTGCCAACATATTTCTTCTTTGTGGGAAATCAAGACAGTCGAGTGAGCTAAGTACGTAGTTTATGGGCAAAAAATCAAGACAGTCGAGTGAGCTAGGTACCTAGTTGATTGGCGAAAAATAAAGACAGTCGAGTGAGCTAGGTAAGTAGTTCATGGGAAAAAATCAAGACAGTCGAGTGTGCTTTTTTTACTTTCTTTTGTTTTTTGTTTCGTTTTCTATTGGCAAGTGATTATCTAGGAACTTGTAAATTTTTTAGTTTTTTCATCGTATCTCCCGAACTATTGAATTCAGAGAAAAATGTTATGAGGATTTTTTGTAGATTCTATCAAAAGGAATAATTTTGGTTCTATACTATTTTCAGATATTTCCAGTTGTTTTCGAGATATTTGGAATCATCTGAGAATAAAATTTTCAACACTTCAGTTCCATCTCCCAATCAACAAAAGGAAAAAATATTCAATGGTTCCGTGGAAGTCGATGATCTTCATCTATCGATAATCTTTTGTTTCACAATATATCTTCATGGTACCCTATGGGTCGTTCAAATTTTGTTTTCATATTTTTCACTTTGTTTCCTGTACTATTGGGTTTACAGAAAAAATTATGGGAAATAATTTGTAGGAAATGTTCTAGTGGATAACTTTGCACTTCTGATAATTTTCGATTTTTCCATTTATTTTCGATATATATTGAATTGAAAGGATTTCAAATTTTGATGTTTTGATTTTCATTTGTTTTTCCATTTTCCGATGGATGCACGAAAAAATGGTTCAATAATAATTTGTTGCGTCATCAAACAGGCATACGGTGCATTTTTCAAATTTGGATTTAGTCTATTGGTTCAGGAGATATGTCGTTTTAGAGCAAACCGTGTTTTTCGGAAAATCTCCTTGAAAAACCCACTTGGAATTTCCCGACCCTGCTCAATTTCAATAGGCTTCGTCTCTTCCTGATAGAGTTATTTTTCACAAAAAATTAAATCGATCGGACCACTTTTGCGATTTGTAGAGTGGTCGCAAGAAACTTTCGGTGAAAAATCGAAAAAACCCGGGAATACCACCTTAGAGTTTTCCGATTTCCTTCATATTTTAATGACATAATATTTTTTTGAGTACAATAAGATGGCAAAATTTCAAGTCGATATGTCAAAGGGTTCCGGAGATATATCGATTTATGATTTACACAGAGTACAGACAGACAGACAGACAGACCACACACAAAAACCAAAGTTGCTCAAAATTCGATGGGGATCATTTTCTCCAAAGTAACTATACCTCTATCTCGCTTAGTTTCCGAGATAGCATTTTTGGCAAGGCCGTAGTATACTCCACTGTGTATAGCGTCGTATAACACTGGTGGGACTTATCTCTTCAGGGGGAGTCGTTAATCTATGGGTTTATTCTTCAATGAGTTAGGTAGTGCGTTTTTCTGAGGAGCTTATTTAGCTGGCTGTGTGATCTTAATGATTTCTCTCTCAGTTGATGAATTCTTGAATTTTATTCAATCAAGAGCCAACCTCAACTATGAAATTTCTCGATAATGAGAGATTTTACATGTCTTGCAATTCCAGGATAAGGAAGCAATCCGAAACGTCTGTGGACAAAGCTGCGAGGCTGTTGTCCGACTGGAGAACGAACGAAGCTAAAAGCAAAAAACACAGTCATTCTTGTTCGCGGGATAACGAGAAATTACAAGACGCCGCTGTTTTGGACACCACAAAATATGGAAAACAAACGTACGTATCAATCATTTAATACTGCTGATTTGAATTTTAGATGATGAAGCAAATATATCAGGGATTGATTCCAGGACAGAAAATAGAAGGAAAATTTCACATCAACCTAGGTCGAAGTATCGTCCCTGAAGATGGTTTTTGATCAATATAATCAAAACGGTTTGAGATTGAGTAATGTTCTTTGAGAATCCCTTCAAATTTTCGTAATAAATCCGAAAATTTCATAGTGTATTGCTTGCCCCTAATTTTTTGTGATCATCTTCACAATTTCACCAAATGAATTGTAAATTCGGAACATTAATAACTCAATGTTTGATTTCAATAAACTGCACATTTTTGAAGAGAAATCAACTTGAACATAAAATCATGCATACTGTGGAAAATTCCTTGGAAAAATCTTTTCTTAAGCAAATATTTGATTTATTGATATGCATATTGTCGAAGTAAAATAATTGTGAAAATATTCTCTCGATTTCGTGTTCAAGTGGAGTATCTATTCAAGTTTTTGTCACTTTAGAATCACTCTTTGATATATTAGCTGTCAAATTTCACGCATAGGTACAAAAATCAAAAATTCTTCCTCTTTTCAGGATATCAAAAAGTACGAGTCTTATTCATCTAGCCCACTTGAATGGTAAACAAAATACAACCGATAAAGATAATGCGAAGGTAAGGAAATATACAAATTGTCGAAATGTTAGTTTTTTCATCGCAGCGCGCAATATTTTTGTAAAAAAATCTTTATAATTCACCTTTCTAAGGAATATATTTTTGTTAATTCGCAATATTTTGGCAAATTACCCTGTATATAATAATAAACGACTTGGATGGATTATGCAAAAAGTTAACGGATAACTAATACATGATATTTCATCCGATTCGTGGCGTATTGGTATTGTGAGGTTTTGAGGTTTGTAAATAGGAAATTACAGTCATAATATAAAAATTCAAGATGACGCCGTCAAGATGGCGTCTCGAAGATGGCGGACAAGCTCGTCATTTCACGTCCTATTCCACTGAAAATATATATCGGGTGATTTCTGAGGTTGAGGAATGATGATTTACAGTCTGAATTTCAAAATACAAGATGACGTACAGATTTGGTTTTTCTCTCGTCTGATTCTAAATAAGGACTCTTGTGGTCGAAACTGACTCTATATACATTATGATGGACGACTTGAATCGATTATGCAAAGAATGAGCAAATTACCTACATGATATTTCATCCCATTCGTGGCCTTAAGGCTATTTCAAATGCACCAAGATCACTCAGCTCGCCAATTTTTCTAATGATCTTAAACGGACCCCAGGATGGCGAATTTCTAAGTTCTGATTGTACTGAAAACTGGTATTGTGAGATTTTTAGGTTAATGAATAGGAAATTCCAGTCAGAATGTGAAAATTCAAGATAACGCCGTCAAGATGGCGCCTCCAAGATGGCGGACAAATTTGATATATCACGTCTGATTCGACTGAAAATATATATCGGGTAATTTTTGAGGTTGAGGAATGATAATTTCCAGTCTGAATTAATATCAAAATACAAGATGACGTACAGATTTGTCTTTTCTCTCGTCTGATTCTAAATAAGGATTCTTGTGGTCAAAATACACTCTATACATTATGATAAATGACCTGAATCGATTATGCAAAGAATGAACATATTACCTACATAATATTTCATCCAATTCGTGGCCTCAAGGCTATTTCACATGCACCAATATCACTCAACTCGCCAATTTTTCTAATGATATAAATCAGACCCCAAGATGGGGCATTTTCAAGTTCTGATCGAACTGAAAACTGGTATTGTGAGATTTTGAGGTTGGTAAATGAGAAATTTCAGTCAGAATGTGAAAATTCAAGATGACGCCGTCAAGATGGCGCCTCCAAGATGGTGGACCAATTTGATATATCACGTCTGATTCGACTGAAAATATATATCGGGTAATTTTTGAGGTTAAGGAATGACAATTTGTCTTTTCTCTCGTCTGATTCTAAATAAGGATTCTTGTGATCGAAACTCACTCTATATATTATGATAACCGACTTGAATCGATTATGTAAAGATTGAACAAATTACCTTCATGATATTTCATCCGACTCGTGGCCTTAAGGCTATTTTACATGCACCAATATCACTCAACTCGCTGATTCTTTTAATGATCTCAATCGGCCTCCAAAATAGCGGATTTTTTTGTTCTGTGAGATTTTGAGATTTGTAAATAAGAAATTCCATTCAGAATGTAAAAATTCAAGATGACGCCGTCAAGATGGCGCCTCCAAAATGGCGGACAAATTTGATATATCACGTGTGATTCGACTGAAAATATATATTGGGAAATTTGTGAGGTTAAGGAATGATAATTTTCAGTCTGAATTTCAAAATACAAGATGACGTACAGATTTGTCTTTTCTTTTGTCTGACTCTAAATAAGGATTCTTGTGGTCGCAACAATCGAACATTAAAGCCTTCGATCACTCTATATATTATTATAAACGACTTGAATCAATTATGCAAAGAATGAACAAATTACCTACATGATATTTCATCCGATTCGTGGCCTTGAGGCTATATTCATTACACGCATCGATATCACGCAACTCGCCGATTTTCCTAATGATTATAATTGGCCCCGCACGGATTGATGATAGTAATGAGATTGATGGTTCATTTCCAGTTGGAGGGGAAGAAACGTAAAGCCGAGGATGCTGTGAAAAAGGCAGACGTCGAATATTATTCGCTTTGCGTACGAGCCGAGAGAGCAAGGTATATTTTTGTCTTCTTTCTCTCTTTTTCTGTCTGTATAGAATAGTCAAAATAGAGGATTTGATATTTTCAACGCATCATCAATATATTTTCAACGCATCATCAACATGTTTTCTCTGGACGGGAAAAAAGTTTGAAATTTAATCTCTCTTCATAGTTTATAAAATATCACTTTTCATAAATTACTTTTTTCCCACGGGAAAATAGTGAGTACTTTTTTCTCGGATATACAGGGTGAGTCAATAGTGTGTTCTCCTCCTATATTAGCCAAACCGTCAGATATATATATAGAAAAAATTTTTCGGTTCTCAACACCCTAATCTCTGTAATCATTTCCGCTAGACCCCAAGTGTGATACATTGATGAAATCAGCTCTTCAGAAAAAATTTGAAAATCCAATAATATACAGGGTGTCCCATTTAAAAACACCCATCATAAACAGCCGATATCTTGGAATTCGAACATCCTATAGATATGAAAATAATTTCAGGTGATAGCTCTCATAAAATCCTATAACTGTTGTATTCGAATATTTTTTATATATCTGACGGTTTGGCTAATATCGAAGGAGAACACACTATTCACCCACCCTGTATATCACATATACATATTAAATGACAATATTTGAGGAGGCGATATTTGAGTCCATTTTTAAAAGAAAATTTCATATGAACGTATGACCTAAACGTCTTAACTTCTGAGATACAGGGTAGTAAAGTTCTCAAATATAAATATCGATTTGAACTATGGAGAAACGTGAATGTGGCTATCGAATTTTCAATAATGCTAGTTTTTCATGCCTTGATAGTTCTCCAAGTTCAAATGAATGTTCTGAAATGCCATCATTGATCCAATCCTGATCGAATATTGTTTCGGGTTAAATCAGAAGTTGCATCTTTGATACGTTAATGAAACATTCGAGTATAATGAAATTCCAACGTTGAACCTAAACGTTCATTCAATCAATTCGAATTAAACGTTGAAAAAACATAAGTGTAGCAATCAAACGTTCGAAAATGCGAGTTCTTCAAACCTTGACAGGTCTCCTACTATAAATAAATCTTCTTTATGCCATGATCGACCAAATTTTGATTGAATATTGTTTCACCTTAAACCAGAAGTTGCAATAATGTTCCGATTCAACTGATAAAAGATTTATAATTCATTGAATAACAACTCTGATACGTTAATGTAACATTGAAGTGTTATAAAATTTCAACGTTGAACCTGAAACGTCCATTCAATCAATTGAATTAAACGTTGAAAAAACATAAGTGTAGCTATCAAACGTTCAAAAATGTGAGTTCCTCAAACCTTGACATATCTCCAAGTTAAAATAAATGTTCTCCGGTGCCATGATCGACCAAATTATGATTGGATATTGTTTCATAGACTGGAATGGGAATCGGCAGTGCTGCGAGGCGCCAGCACTTTCCAAGCCTTAGAAGAAGAACGACTCAATAACCTCAAGACAGTCCTCAATTCATACCTCCATCACAACAATGACCTTGGTCCTAGGCTCATTGAGGTACGTGTATACACATGACACATTCACACATGGAAATAAAAAAAATTTTGATAGATATTATCTCCTGGTTCATCTAACGAATGACTTTACAGTTGCTGCGTTGAAACTGTGAATTAGAATGTTTTACTCGCTCGTGTTTGTGATTCGATTAAGTTTAGACTATTTACAGTTGCATTCCTATACATTCTCAACAATAAATGAATCTAACTTATATCACTTATATATAGTTGAAACTAAGCTCTAATTCTAATAATTTCAATCGGCTAGAAGGTCGACTTCTCATCAGTCATCACACATCAGCATTGTCTTTCCTTGTATACGGAAATGTCCGAAGGCAATCATACATAGGAGTCAAGTCATAATGTTTGTCATTTACTCAACCGAAAAGATACATATAATGATAGAGATGGAAAGCCCTAATTTCGAGTGTAGTTTTTTCATTTTCCATTGTTATCAACTAGATCTTTCCATATAAGATTAATAATTGACAAGTGATCTATATCTCCTTAAATAACATCAGAAGAAAAATAAAAACGAAATCGGCAAATTTTGATTTTTTTAGGCATATCTCCGGAACTATACTCGGAATTTTCAAACTTTTTCAAAAGCACAATGTTAGGCTTCTATATATCTGTAAATTAACCTGACATTTAGAAACTTCCTATGCTCATCTTGATGTCGGAAGTATCTCTGAGCCAAAATCGCTAAATGTCCTCAGGCCACCGGAAGTAGTCAAGCCAAGGTTGGCAGATTTCCGAAGATGGGAGATTCAAATTTGGCAGGTGTAGGATTGGGGGATTGAAACATTTTGCAATATTTCGTACTCTCCCAGCATTTCCAGTTTCATCGAAAGAGACTCCAATTTTTTATTTTCAAATAGAACACCCTGTATTTTCAACTACGAAATAGCACAAGTTTAATGGAATGTTGAATAAATAAAAAAAGGTCAAAGTCATGTCCACACAATGTTCATAAAATGAACAACAATGGTAGATTTTGGGAGAAAAACAACTATACTTTCCTGGCAAATGCCAAGCAGAACATTGAGTTACATCATTTAGATATCGAAATGATGTAACTGCATCGACTCTTATAAACGAATACTCATACAAGTGATTATTTGACTGAATGCCTATTGGTTTCGGTTTAGCCGGGCCATGCTAGACACCTACAGACCGGTCTCGAGCTATTGGACTCTCATCAGTGCAGGGCAGTCTCCAGTCAGCAGTCCTAAGACCGCCGATTAAGCGTAGCCTAGCCAAACAAAAATCAATTTATCAAAACTGCGACTCAACATATCGATGTTTTATTACGTTACGAATATTTTCTTTGATTTGATCGAGATTTTGAGGCACTGGATTACAGCAACGACTTTTGACGCAACCCCATAGGGAAAAATGAACTACTGTCAAGTCTGGGAATTGTGGTGGCCATAGTATTGGGCCTCCTCTTCCAATCCAACGATATCCAAAAGTGGCATTCAAGGAACCTCTGGTGATCGCTGCATAGTAGGGTGTAGCTCCGTCTTGTTGTTATGCTATATCCAGTAAATTATTCTGTTCCCATTGTGGATAGAAAAAGTTTTCCAACAGGTCTAAGTATAATTGGATTGTTGAAAAAGAATGAACCATAAATTTCGTGCTCTGACATGGCACACCAAACGTCCCTGACATGTTCCTGGATGATTCTTGGATCGTCCAATGCCCAAATGCGGTAATAATGTTTATTCACCTTGCCAGCAATGTGGAAACTTGCTTCTGCTTCATTAGACATTAACAAAGTATGAAGCAAGTGTCTAGTTCTCCTCAGTGCACGGCTTTTCCTTATGAACTTCAACCTCTTTTCAAAATCAGCTGGTTTGATTTCCTGTAGTATCTGAATTTTATATGCTTTCAATGTCGATTCTCCATACATAATATTTTGAACTTTGCGGAATACCTGTGATGGCAGAAATTTTTCGTGTAGATTAAGTGGGTCTGCTTCTATGCATTCCAGAACTAACTATTGCATATTCACATCGTTGGGGGTCCTTCTCTCATGATTAATACATCCAGTGTCCAAAAAGTTATAGCATGTCATGTTTTTATTGAATTTTCCACTGCAGGATTTTTATTGAATATAGTTCTGAACCTCCTTGTAATTTTATAAGATTTTGTTTCGGCAAAAGCTTTTTAAAAAGAGCACAAAAGCTCGACGATCTCTATTTGACACATCTAATCTGTTGTGATCAGAATTTTCAAAGGTGACTGTGATAACATTGCATAATCTCATTAAACCATTCCACAAGCAGTAGTTGTTTCAAACCGCACAACGATAAATTAAATAAATTTTGAGATACGAGCAGTTGAAATGTGTCAGAGTATAACTGGTCACCCGGTATCTCTGAGCTGAAATCTCGAAATGTCCTTCCAGGCCACCGAAAGACTAAAGGCCCCAGCTGCCCACGCCGACCCTGCCAAAGACCTCGTGACCTTCCAAAGCCTGCGACACACCTCCCAACATCCCTCCGAGCAGCTGCTTCCCGACTTCTACTGCGAGCACATCACGCTGGCCATGAACAGGGAGCGCAGGAAACAGGCGCTGGTGAAGCTGTCGCAGCTGATCCGGCAGGATATAGAGAGGGAGAGGAGGTCGAAGAACGGACTGGAGAATCTGGAGAAGGCTATTAGGCAGACGCCCAGCTTCGGCTCGGAGGATTCGCAGCAGAGCGTGGTCGAGAAATTGTATCATGTAAGTACCTATATCAGGAAATGTGCAGACATTTTTTTATTGCAGCGTTTATATTTGGTTGGTTTCTTGTTCGAACATATTGGTCCTTCGAGCCGGATATAGTTTTTTCGAGCGCAGTACCCAACACTACCTGGAGTAATATTGAAGGCCAAGCAGCTGGAGCTTTTCACAGGTAGCAACAAGCAGCTCAAGCGAGCAGCCTCCAAGATGAGGATTCTTTCCGTTATGGTTCGACTGAGAATTTTATTAGGTCGTCTTCTAGTGGAAAATGGAACTTTCGAAGTGACGAACGAGTTTGACGTTTCTCGTCTTTCTGCTTTCAATGTGCCCCCAATATGGCAGATTCTTCTGTTCTGCTGCTTTCGCTCGATTTCCACTGCGAGTACATCGAGCTGGCCATGAACAAGGAGAGCAGGAAGCAGGCGCTGGTGAAGCTGTCGCAGCTGATCTGGCAGGATATAGGGAGGGGGTGGAGGTCGAAAAACGAATTCTAGAATCTGGAGAAGGCCATCAGGCAGACGCCTAATTTCGGCTCGGCGGATTCTCAGCATGTTTGTCTTTCTCTGGAGGCATATTCGAAATGGACTTTGTTTGTCTTTCGTTGCGAAAATATCCAAAATGGAACTTTCACAATGGTGGACGGCTTTGTCATCCCTCGTTTTCTTGATGATATTAATTGACCTTTGTTTAGTACTTGTAGTATCTTATATAATAGTTTGGGTTTGTATCACCATATATTCTAATATGAATTTCCATTTCGTTATCATATATCATATAACCATACAAATACAGTCCACTATTGATCGAGCATCGAACACATTGGTCCTTCGAGCCGGATCTTTTCAAATTAAACCTTCAAGATCGCTAAGTTCTTCACGCAGGATACAGAGCAGCACTCAAGACTACCTGGAGTAACAGTGAATGCCAAGCAGCTGGAGCATCAGCCTCAGAACGAGACATTCGTTGTTGTATTTCATCAAATTTCAACGTTGTGCAAGCTTTCCTGAGTTGATAATTGTGTTTAAGTGTGAAAATGTGTCTATCTATGATTCCTCAATTCAGAATCTCAACGATATGGCAGAGAAAATATTCAGACAAGATAATAAACGGGCAGTCAATTTGAACATTAAATTTTATAGTCTATATTGTAATTCTGATACCAGTTATTGATTTCGAGAGAATATTCTTTTTACCTGTTCTGAAAATGTTTGTTCTTACTTCAACGGCGAGTAGGAGAAAAAAATGTTGATCTTTTGATTGATATTTTCTAGATGAAATCCATGTTGACATATTTGGAAGGTGCGAGATACAAAGTACAGGGTGCTCTTGCCGAGTTGGACAGCAGACCGAGGACGGGACATCCCTTGGCAGCACATATCACCATCACTAGGGACAAATCGGGGCTGCAGCAGAGCATTCTTAAAGTGAGTTTCCACAAACATTGAATACCTATTCAGAGTTGTTTCTGCGCAACAGCTAATTTTCCCAAATTTCAATATCTTCATTTTTTGATTCCATAGAAGTAGTAAGTCAATGGATATTTGTTTCTTTTTTTGATACATCTAGGGTGAGGTGGAGTAGGTGAGTGGAGTACAGTTTTAGAATATTTGCACTGAAAATTCCGTTGTTTTCTTCAAAAAGATATATTTTTTTCTAATTCATGTACCTTGTCTCAGCGATATATCTGGTGAAATAATCATAGGTATGTTTTAACATAAGTAGAAAATTTTAAGGAAAAAAATAAACCCTTGTGCGTGGAAATGCTTCGTTTCGAAGATATAGGCTGTTGAAATTGTTTTTTTATTATTTTATAAAATAACGTAGGTACTAAAAATAAGTTTTTTGCACGAACTTTGCTACCCGGATTTTTTTCGAGCTGGGAAATCATAATTTCGTATGTAATTTTGATCTTGCGCTTAGAGAACTCTGCGTATGCTGCCATCATTTATTTAAAATGGTTAAATTTTTTAATAGTAAGCTGTTGGCACTTCTCATGGAAAAACCTTATCCCACACCGTTTTTAAGTGAAAAAGGTACTCTCCCTAAGAAGACATTCTACATCCCCTTTTGCAAAAATTGCGGTTTCCTAGCGATCTGCTTTATATATACTGAGGCACATGTACTAGATCTCAGACAATTATACTTTTATAACATATTGACAACATAATTCCAACACCAGAGTGAACTCACAACATATAACCACGGATATGAAACAAAACAACAAAACAGATATATTCCTCCCCACATGAATGAAAGAATTGGTCAAACCTGCTATACGTATTTGTCCCAAAGATTTTCAATATGATACCTAGCTGATACCGCAGCTAAACTTTCCTCGTTGAATTCATTCGAACAATGGGCAAAAAATACCTTGGAACTATCCCTAGAACTAAAATCCACTAAATAATAGAGAAATATTAGCAAACCTATAACCAAGTAAAGGAGATGAAATGTTCTCAATTATACACACAAAAACAAATACAAAATCATTATATATAGATCCAAAAAGGATTTTGCTTTGCACTTCCAGATCAGTTTTTCTCGTACTGATCGGCAAATGTTTTTCGTTACCAAGAGAAATTGATCCAATAAAAAAAGCTCTTGTGTTTTTACTGTTGACAAAAAAAACATGAATTCTCGAAACCCAATACATAAAAATCTAATTTTTAATCGAGGTACGACCAAGCCTAGCGACTATATTGTCTCTTTATATCACAAAATATGGAACCGCAGAACCAGACACGTTGAACAATTTCGAAGGTGACGTTTCGTTTCTCTCCAGGTTCCTCAGTGGCTCAGAGACGAATGGTGCGACGCCGACAAAAGTCCGGTGAGCCGGAAGTCCGTCAAGTCCGAACAGTCCGACAATTCGGATCCGCACAACAATGACGTGGACGATCCCGATTGGTTGGACCGAGGGGCCGCCGACGGAAATTCCAACCAGCCAGACTCAGATTTCGGTAAGAAAAAAATCTTCACGTTCTTAGTGCTGCCAAGTCCCAAGTCAGCCTCAAACTCATTTGGCTACTAAAAATTGCATGTAGCTATTGAGATATTCTTTCTAGCTATTTTTTATTCTGAATTAAAAAATCCCATTCTTATTATATATTCATGATCCCATCTGAGTCAAATTTAGATCAGTCTGTATTTTTATGGATTTTATACGTCAGCGTCAACACTACTAGAGTTAGCAGGGAGCCAAATTTCTGAGAATGTCAGAATCATAGTCCATGGTCAGATTTCTTGTTTTTGCTAGAAAAATTGCAAAAAATGGCTAGATTAGTCAAAAAATAGATATAAAACTTTTCCCCTGCGGCGCGCTTTTTTTTTTCATAATTTCGCCTTTTCCGACAATCATCTAGCCATTCTCAAAATTGGCTGTTGGCAAAACCATGTGCTCAGATTTCAGATTACTCACCCACAAACAATCAACGGAAGAAATGCTAGTACTCATTTTTTCAGTAAATTCATTGAAGTGCGTGTTTCCATCCATCAAATATCACCCCATTAAGTTGTATAATACCAAATATATCATCAATAAGACATTTCATATACATTTAAAAACAGTATTTCTGCAACCGACACAAAAGTCGTCCATTTTGGTACTAAAATTAGCTCTTAAATTAACGTTTTTATTACTGACACAAAAATAGGTATGTTGCTAGGCAACATATTTAGTTCCTAGGAGCTAAAGTTGAATTTTAGTTCCTAGGAGCTAAAGTTGAACTTTAGCTCCTAGGTACTGAAAAGGATATACTGGACGTCATCAAGAATGAACAACATTGTGACAGCTGGTTATTTGGGTTGAGACGCATATCTGATTTGCTTCCGATTTCAGCAGATTTGGCATTTCATAACCATGCTGGAGATATAAATACACCTTACTATAGTTTAGTATTGGAATTATAAACATCTCAGTTAAGTATTTTTGTTTTGATCACGGAAGCCTTCAAGATTCGAATACTTGCTTGATCTGTAATTCATTCGTTATTCTCGGGATGGATAACTTGTTTTTGAATATTCACGGCAAGCAATAGTTTTTTTGTCTCAAACAACGATATTGTTTAGCTCCATTTGATTATCAAGTCGAACACAGTGTGGTATGGAGAGGAATAAATAATCACTATTATCATTGTTGATTAGGTTGATATGCTCACTAACCTAACATTTTCCACGTCTTGTTCCTATAGCTGGCACTGGCGCGGTATTTGCCATTAGAGCACCTGGTCCATACACAAATATGTCACTCTATGGTTGTATTTATATTGAAACTACAATTCGAACATCCTTGAAAACCTAACCTGCTGTTAATGCATCAGGTAGTATATTCTCACCACACGGATTATTTGTCAATATAGCGAAGCCGAGCGAAAGCAAAATTTGCGAGTCGAACAAAGTCACTTTTGATCCTAATGAAACAATCTACTATTCATGAATGTACGAATCTCTATTTGGTGATTATTCAACTGATCCCCTGTCGGTTTCTACCGTCCACAGTTGAATTTCGTTTGCATTCAGATCCTCTTTAGCAATTGTTCATGGAAATAATGAACTTGTTCACATACTTGTTACTATTGTGAGTGTCGCCAAAGTGCAGCAGCAACAGCCAAATATTTTCGTCAATAAATCATCAAACACTGCGGAAGTTCGTTGAAATCAATGATTGGTTTCAAAATTATTTGAAAAACAGAAAACAGTAGGTTGATGTGAATAGTACATGTGCTTCCTTGATGAATATTACATGTGGTGTGCCACAAAGGTCAGTTTTGGGGCCAATTTTATTTCCAATTTGCATTAACCAATATCTACTTTGCAATTGAATGGAAAACTGAAATTAATTGCAGATGATAGAATAATAATTCATACCTGAAAAGATTTCAACAATACCGATAATTGTATTAAAAATGATTTGAAACGAATATCATCTTAGCTAACGACCAAATGGAGCAGGAAGAGTTTGTTTTGAAATCAACATATTTCAATTTATTTTTTTATCGTCCTAGTATGGATGAAAACTTCCTAAATTTTATTTACTTCTAGTTCTTTGGTATAGAGCTCACGATGATGTCGTTTTAAAAAATCAATGGTCTACCCCATTAGAGTCACTTTCACCTCCATTAACTTCTTGGGCTCTTATAAGTCCGAAACATGCCCCTTGAAATTGTTAAATCATAAGAACTGTAGAGATGGCTCCGATCTTACCTTATTTCCTTGGAGAACATAAATTAATCAACACTAATTTCTTCGCACACCAAAATGTCGCCCCTGTTATAATGTGAATAACTTTTTTCAGTTAGAACAATTTGAATTTGGTTCACACTGTTCGATAGTCCAGTCCTTCAGCTATAATCTCGTACTTCATTGAAACATAAGGGTATCCACATAAAATCTCTACATGTTGTTTTCCGACACTGTGCAAAATTTCGGAATATTCAAAAGGCTCTCAGATGGTGAAACAAATTTTTTTCTCAACTTCGACAACATAGGCATGAAGATGATCTCATTACCTCGAGTTGTTTCGCGAATCAACTTCCTATCTCTCTTATTTACAGAGTGATCTTAAAAAATCAACTTTTTGGTTTTGCAGCCATAACTTTTTTCCACGTCAACCGATTTTAGAAATCTTAGGCTCATTTTGAAGACAAAACTTCAGATGAAGAGATCTGAATATTAGAATTGACTCAAGATGGCTATCAGAGATCTAGAGTTTTCTTGAAAGTGGCCCAAATCTGGAACGCCCTCCGAATCTCGGTTGGGAGGAGAATTGAATGAAAATCAACTTGTTCTCGGAAAAACAATTCATTCTGGATGCGTCCATATTTTCCTCGCTCTCAGTAGTCAAGAATTGTGCGTGAGAAAACACAATTGAAACATGTTCTTGCAGAAACATCAGATCATTTCTCCTCTGTAATGCATGGCCCGTAACCAACGTTACAAGAATCACAGTAAGTGACTGACAAGTCAGGTTAGACGTCGTTTTTGAATCATAAACAGATTTTGACAGGGGCGTATTTACCTAAGGGCCAAAAGGGCCATGGCCCGGGGCGGCAGGCTGCGAGGGGCGGCGCAAGCCGCATCACGCTTAGTTTTTTTTTACCTTATTCCTCCGAAGAAATTAGCGTCGGCGGCACCACAGTTAGATTACTCCATGTCGGAACCTTTGATGTCGATGTTCCAATTTTACCTCTCACTCACATGCACTCCTGGGAAACAAAGTCAACAAATTCTGGGTGCGCAAAGCATTTTTTGTCATTTATTGCGAGCGGTGATGGTTTGTATCCGATGGCTCCGCCTCCATGCGCGTGGGAAACAGATTCCAGTTGCGCAGAGGATAAATTGGACCATGCAAAAGGACTGAGTAGTGACATTCAAGTAAGCTAACTGATTCTTTTAGCAATGAAGGGACGATGCTTGTACCAGCCTTAATAATGATTGGAGCCAGATAATAGCGGCTCTTGAAACTATATAAGCAGTGACTTTGCATACCACAAAGCCTTGGTTAAAAATGAAGCGGCTGGGCTATTAGCTCAACTGAATTCTCTAGAAACTGCCATATTATCGGAATTTTGGGGATCTGTATTAAAACGATTTGGTATATAGTCTCCAAAATACTACAAGGTGTCGACACAGACGTAGAAGTAGTTTCCAGGCTTTACAAGTCACTCATTACTTTTGTAGAAGAACAACGGGAATCTTCTGATACTTTTGAAAAGAAAATGCACAGAAGAGTACCGGAACATTCACAATAGAATTGTCAAGAGAAAGAAACGAGACGATGAGAGTAGCGAGGGAGAAGTGGTGTTTCAAGGACGGGATCATTTTAGGGTTAATACCTTCTTTCCAATATGCGACCGATTATTGGGCGAGTTAAGGAAGCGAAAAACTTCGTATGAGGCGGTAACCGCCAATTTTGCATTTTTATGCAAATTGGATACAATGTCTGCTTCAGAAGTGAGATTAAATGCCATAAAACTCCAAAAAGTTTACCCTATTGATATGGCGGATGATTTACAAGAAGAATGTGTTCTCTTAAAACAATTCCTGACGTCTCATGAAAATAAAATGAGTTTAAGGCAACTCAGCTTATTTATTAAGCAAAAAGATTTGAAGGAAGCATTTCCATATATTGAAATAGCATTACGAATATTTCTGTGCACTGCGGTGACCAATTGCAGTGCAGAACGGTCATTTTCTGTACTTAAAAGAATAAAAAATTATTTACGTTCTCGTTTAAGTGAAGAACGTTTGAATAGTTTAGCTATTCTCAATATAGAAGCTGAACTGACAAATTCCATTAATTATGACAGTGTTATTGACGAATTTGTTAACCAATCTGTCCATCGAAAGAAAATGTAAATATCGAATTCTTTCTTTGGCCTTCTTAATTTTTCCATTCATTATTATTATTCTCAACCCAATAGACTGCTGGCTTTCATTTCATGATTTAATGTTTTGCTCATTTTCCGTTGATTTATGGGGCGGCAAACCCTACAGGCCCGGGGCGCTGAATATTGAAATACGCCCCTGGATTTTGATAGTTTCGACATTGTCGATCTAAATGAAAACCTAGTAGGCGACCTAGTGCGAAGAGGTATAATATTGTCTGTTCATTCAATCAAAATATGTCTGTCTGTCAAGTGGCGCTGAGGCAGAGAAATTGGAAAGGGCTCATTTGTTTATGTCAAAATAGACCTTATTAGGTTGATATTCTCTTCTTCTATTTTTCTCCAATATGTACTCAACCACAGACGTGCTTTCCATCATTGACGTGATATTTGATAGGAAGACGATGGAGAAGATTCATGTCATCATAAAATTATTTTCTGACAGTTGTCATTAACTTATAACTTCATCTTTGTGGATGTCTCTGAACTACATATTTTCTTCATTTGTCTTTTCAATGAACAGACAATATTATAGCTCCTGCCTACTAACTACCTAACTAGGTTGTCATCCAGAACGACAATGGTTTCGATGCCGCATCTAACGCCCGACCAGTTGGAACTGATTCGTTCGGAGCATTATTGCGACTGAAAACTTTACGTAATTGGCAAACTCTTTTCGTGAAACTTTCACCGTTTTTGAAATGTGTTTTCGCAATAAATAAACGTTGTTCGCTTGAATACTTTTCCATATTCTTAAATCGCATGTTATGTAGGTACGTGACAACTGTCAAAAAAATCACTTTATTGAAAAAATCAAAATCCGTTGCTCTTGTTGGTACACCATTTATGATGAGCCTTAGCTGGTCGGGTTTGTCAGTCCATTGTGATTCTTGTAACGTTGGTTACGGGCCATGCATTACAGATGAGAAATGGTCTGATGTTTTTGCAAGAACATGTTTCAATCGTGTTTTCCCACGCACAATTCTTGACTACTGAGAGCGAGAAAAATATGGACGCATCCAGAATGAATTGTTTTTCCGAGAACAAGTTGATATTCATTCAATTCTCCTCCCAACCGAGATTCGGAGGGCGTTCCAGATTTGGGTCACTTTCAAGAAAACTCTAGATCTCTGATAGCCATCTTGAGTCAATTCTAATATTCAGATCTCTTCATCTGAAGTTTTATCTTCAAAATGAGCCTAAGATTTCTAAAATCGGTTGACGTGGAAAAAAGTTATGACTGCAAAACCAAAAAGTTGATTTTTTGAGATCACTCTTTAAATAAGAGAGATAGGAAGTTGATTCGCGAAACATCCCGAGGTAATGAGATCATCTTCATGCCTCTGTTGTCGAAGTTGAGAAAAAACATTTTTTCACCATTTGAGAGCTTTTTGAATATTCCGAAATCTTGCACAATGTCGGAAAACACCATGTAGAGATTTTATGTGAATACCCTCATATTTCAATGAAATACGAGATTATAGCTGAAGGACTGGGCTATCGAACAGTGTGAACCAAATTCAAATTGTTCTAAACTGAAAAAAGTTATTCACATTATAACAGGGGCGACATTTTGGTGTGCGACGAAATTAGTGTTGAGTAGTTTATTTACCTAGCTGTGTCTTCCCCAGACGAATTCTCGTCGCAGTGCAGCGGCAGCAGCACCGGCAACAGCGCCCGCCCCGCCGCCGACGACCACCCCGTGCAGCCGATATCGACATGCCGCGCCATCTACTCGTACAGCCCGAACATGCCCGACGAGCTGGCCTTGAAGCCGGGCGACCTTATCGCCGTCTACCAGCAGCAAGACGACGGCTGGTGGCTGGGCGAGTGCGACGGCAACGTCGGAATCTTCCCCGCCACCTACGTCGAAGTGGTGAAGGAGTGCTGAGTCGGGAGAGTTTGGTGGCCGATGCGGACAGGAAAAGTGCGCGGGAGTTCGCGAGGTCAGAAATTCTTACGAACTTCGGCCTTTTTCAACAAATACTTAATCACATCCTTGAGTAACGAATCTATGCGGAGGCTCAACAATGCGGCCACTTCTAGTTGTGACACTACTACGATGTGGACGAATCTGGATAGTTTGGTGGCCAAGGTGATAACCAAGTGGGTTTTCGGTAGGTTTGTTGCGTGGGAGTTGGTGGACATGAAAAGTGGAGCAGATTAGACAAGCTCCGATCTTCTGATAGCTGGAATCTTCTCCCACCTTTTGAAATATGCCCACTCTTCCCTCCATCTTGACTGCTGAATCAAAAATCGGATATTTTCGAGTGATTATTTGACATATTTGTTTGGGGGCTTAGCAAGTGCAAACGTCATCAATAGTCTTATTCTCTTCTTCCTGACTGCTTATATCAACATCGAACATTTTCGTGATCATTTGATATCTTTGGTTGGTGGCTTTGCAAGTGCGATCACCATCATTATTCCCTGCCATCTACGTTGAAATTGTATAGAGTCTGGAGAATTCGGTGATCACCAAGTGGGTATTCAGTGGGTTGGCTGCCTGGGAGTTAGTTGAGATTGAAAATAGACTCCTGACAGCAAGAAATCTTCCCCATCTTCTAGAATTGCGCACTTGTTCATTCATCTTGACTGCTGAATTCGACATAGAATATTCTCGTGATTATTTGACGTATCATTTGGTTGATTGCTGGGCAAGTGCGACGGCATCGTCGGAATCCTCGCCATCTGATCCGGAGTGGTGAAGGAGTGCTGAGTCGGGCGAGTTTGGTGGCCGATGCGGACAAAAAAAGGTCGCAGGAGTCCGCGAGGTGAGAAGTTCTTACGAATACTCATCACATCTGTTTGGATTTTGGAGTCTTCCATCGAAACTGTAGTATGGAAAGTTTGGTGGCCGCGGAGGACACCAAGTTGGTGTTTTGCGTAGTAGTTGGGGTGGAGAAAAAAAGTGGACTTCTAATTGCTAGAAACCTACCCCATCATTTGAAATATGCGCACTTTCCTATCCATCTTGACTTCTGAACTCAATCAATATCGAATATTGTCGTGATCTTGACTTATTTGGTTGGTGGCTGGGCGAATGCGATGGCAAAGTCGAGGTTTTCCCGGCAACCTACGTCGAATTAAGTGGTGAAGAATATGGGTGACAACGCTGAGTCTGGAGAGTTTGGTGGCCGATGCGGACCCCAAAAGTAGTTGGGAGGTGAGAAGTCTTTACGAATATTCATCTGATCGCTGACGGTGAAAGAGAAGAAGTGTATGAATCTTTCGAAGTATTCCCATCACGTGATATATTAGGATTCGTGTATTTTGATGATTATTTTTCGCAATGGAATTGTAGAAGTTTTTCGGCGAGCGAATGTGCATGCGTCCATGATGCATCACGTTTAGGAGAGGTGATCGTCGTCGGGTCTGGAAAGTTTGGTGGCCACGGTGGACACCAAGTGGGTATTCGGTGGGTTTGCTGCTAGGGAGTCGGTGGGGATGAAAAACGGAGCTTCGATCATCTACCTTCTAGAAACTTCTCCCATCTTCCGGAATATGTGCACTTTTCTATCCATATTGACTGCTGAATTCTAGATCGAATATGTGACATATTTGGTTGGTGGCTCACCGATAGCGACGGCCACCAATATTCTCAGCTACCTACGTCATAAATCTGGAGATTTTGGTGGCCGCTGCTGATACCAAGTGGGTTTTTGGTAGGTTTGCTGCGTGGGAGATGGTGGAATTTGTATGATGTGGGGCGTGGAGCTGGTGAGAAGTTGGCAAGTGTTGGCTTAGCTTTAGTGTCTCATTTGCCAGGAATTCATACTGTAGACTTGTTAGGTGAGTTCTTATGTTCGATTTCGAAAATTTCAAGCTCACTAGATTTCTTGACAAAGTTTAAAACTGTTGGTTGATGTGGCACGTTTTTTATAATGGCTTGTGAAATCTTTGCTGAAAGGTCAACTTCGAACGGTATTATATGGAAAATAACAGCTATTACCGGTAGATACGGATTTGTGTACCCCTAGAGGGTGAGAAATATATGTCAAAATACTACTGATTGGTCAACTTATTAGATTAACTTGCTAATGGATATGAATTTTTCTATAAAACTATTTTTTTTCTACAAACGTCAAAAACTGACAAGTTTCGCGCATTGATAACAAATTACGAAGTGACACTTTTTTCCGTTCTCACGACACGACGAAGTAGTGCGCGGAGTAAAACGATGCGCGAGGTACCTATAGATACTTCGCGCATATTGTATGTAAACTATATGAGATTTTTATATTTTAAGTTTATGGACCTCAATGAAGCAAACATCCTAGAAATCATTTGTTTCTGAATGTTTGACAATAATTTTTTTTTATCTCTTGGACCGCACGAAAGGAAATTCCTATAATGTTTGTGGAACATCGTGCGTACCTAGGGAGGATAGGAAGAGGCTTTTTAAGCAAGTTCAGCACTATTATTTAAGCTCAGCATATTACTACTTCAGAACTATATTTTTTGACGTTTGAAGAAAAAAATTTGTTTGCATCTCGGGCGCAAAATACTTTGGTGATCTCCGAATTATCACCAAAGTAGCATTTCGCGCACTTGATACAAAAATAACTGTTATACGTAAAACACTTTTCTCTGAAGAAATTACGTCATCAGAACTGTTCTATATACCGGTTTTATAGAAAATTATACTAATTTGTGTATATGTATACAGTCACTCAGCATGTTTTGTATTATTTATTGTTCTATATACCCTCATTAATGACTATATGAATATTTGTTGATATTATTTTTTAATAAGATTACAATTTATACTTCTCATCGTATCGTAAAACAATATATCTATGGAATTGTTGAATTTATTTGTACAAATAAAACACTATTTTAATTATTGAATTATTATTGTTACTGTACGTACCTATATAATAAACAATGCTGCTGTTTTGCACACCACTACAGACTCTGTAGGCTATGTAATATTGCATATTTATAGAATGTAAGGAAATAGGTATTTTGCAAGTGTGATTTTGTTATATTTCTATAAAATGACATTCCAGACCCAATTTTCTCACTGCAATTGCTTATACAGTTAATGAAATATTAACAATTATGGATATTATAATAAATCTTCAAATTGTCGGTTTCGTCATTCTAGAAGAAACTGGGAGGTAGGTACCATAAGGAATGAAGCACAAAAGGACTTCTCAGCATAGGCTGAAGATGGACATTGCATAAGTCCGAAACATGGTCCTTATTTTATGTTTTCAAATCAAAAAGTCGTGGAGATGACTTTGTGCTTGTCTCATTGAATATATTTGATAATGGTGCATTTTTATCAACAATGTTTTTCTTCCTCATAAATCAATGAAAAATTGGAGGTGCCGAAAGTAAGTAGACAAATTCTTATTTGAAACTCATATAGGATATAATGGGGGGAGGGCCGAAGTTCAGCTTGGGCCTTGGCAGTGCTGCCAACTCAACAATTTTATGTCAAGTTCTAGCTATTTTAATCTCATCCAACTACTGCAAATTGCATCTAGCCATTTTGCCATTTTTTCTAGCTATTTTGATTCTGACTTTCTATAAATGAATATTTTCATATATATAGAATTCCCATATACAGAGTGACCCACTTCTAATGGAAAAACCCCTGTATCTTACGTAATTTATTTCATCTAGTACACTACAGAATTAAATACAAATTCCAAATGGTACGCTTAAAGTAAAAATACAAATGACAATAATAAAAAACATGCATAAACAACAATGAAGACTATACTATAACATGGTAAAACAAAACAGAGATTCAAGACAAATAGAAATAAGTTACAAATTAAAATTTCAACAGTGATGTCAGTTGCTTCTTAAACTTATTAAAAGGTATATCAAAAATATTGACTGATGGGAAATTTTCCTTACCCAACGTAATCGTTAAGGATATTAGGAGTCAAAATAGGTCGAAAATCACTTCAGATTCGGAATCAGGACGCCCAATTCACCAACTATTCATATTTTTCCTGGATATTTTAATTTTTGAAAAATTAAATTTTGTCGCACTTTTCACGGAAGCACCCCCGTATCTTACGTAATTGACTTCATCTTTGGACTTTCCCTTCCTCCTGCAAATTTCAGAACCCTTCCTCAATAATTACGTGAGATACGGGGTTTCTCCCATGAGAAGTGAGACAAAATTTTATTTTTCTGAACTGAAAATTTTCTATGAAAAATATGAATAGTTGGTGAATTGGGCGTTCTGACTCCGAATCCGAAGTGATATTCAACCTATTTTGAATCCTAATATCATTTTCCGGAAATTGGGATGGTTCCATGGCTGTTGGCGAGCAGTGTATATCACTGAAGATGACCCCACTTGGTCATCATTTTTAATATATCTCTCGCTCCAGCAAATTTCAGGATCCTTAACCAACGATTACGTAAGATACAGGGGTATTTCCATAATTAGAAGTGGGTCACACTGTAGATAGTTCATTAATTATAATCACGATTTAATCTGAGTCAGATTCAGAACGGTATTTATGTCTATTGCTTTTGTAGTCCATGCTTTGTGCCATTTTGACAAATTGACGCTGAGGTCAATGGCGTCAACACATCACTCCATACGTCGATGTCAAAACTACTAGAATCTTCACTTATTTTCAATGTCAGACTCGTAGTCCATGGTCAGATTTATTGTTTTTGCTATAGAAAAATTGCAAAAAATGGCTAGATTTGCTAAAAAGTCGCAAAACAATTTATCGCCCGCAGCACGCTTCAATGGGCGTGTACTCCTTAGTAGAACTTTTAACTCAAACCATGTTTATAATGATCCTTTCATACATAAATAATTATTGACGACATAATTCGAACGAAAAATTAACTGGAATGTATTATTTTTGGACATAAATAATAGTACCTTCTGAAAACGGACCCTCTTAT